TTTTTTTTTTTTTTTTTTTTTTTTTTTGCTTTTGGCATCGCACAGGTCATGGTGCCAAATTGCACCTTGCACTCTTACAGAATCTTTTTTTTTTTTTTTCCCAGAATCCTTGTCGTGTGTAACTCATGTAGGTCACAACTTTGTATTGTCGATCCTTATCTGCTGGAGATAACTCATGTAGGTCACAACTTTGTATTGTCGATCCTTATCTGCTGGAGATGGTGGTCCCGGAGTGAGGACGCCTCAAGCAAAATCATATTGAATGCTGTTGTGCCGGAAGCTGTGTGTGTTTTGCCCACCTGTAATGCAGTTGAGTGGTGTTTACAATTTTACACTGTTTACCATCGTGCTGTGCTCATCAATGGCTGCAATCTGTCGCTCGCTTTTTTTTTGGCGGTGATGCTTTTTTTTTTAGCAGGTCAGAGTTCATGCACTTATCTGCTTGGGCCAGCTCTGCCAGCGTATGGACAGGCCAGCTGTGATGGAAGTTCTTTCGACGTGCGCAAGATGCATGGCAGTTGATCGATCCGCACCCACGTTGATGTGCATTCTGGGAGTTGGAGATATAGTCTCGAAGCAGGTTTGAACCCTCTTCTTCCATACATCTGTCCTCTTTAGAGGCTCAGCTTGCAAAGGATTCAAAGAGCTGCATCCAGTAGGTTTGGTGCTTGGTAAGCTTTTCAGAAGGCATGTAAACAAGCTCTCTCTCTCTCTCTCTCTCTCTCTCTCTCTCTCTCTCTCTCTCTCTCTCTCTCTCTCTCTCTCTCTCTCTCTCTCTGTGTGTGTGTGTGTGTGGGCATGCGGGCAGCGGGGGAGGGTGCATGGCAGGAGGGTGTACGTGTTTGTGTCTGTCCTTTGCCTTTCTGAAATTTTCAGTGAAGAATGCGCTTGTATAGTGAGCGTGAACACCCAATATGGTACCCGATTGGACTCGTTATACTGCGGACCCTGCTAAATTTGCAATCCAGTGGCATCTGTGCAGTCTTCGTGACGATTTCACAGATGTCCACAGGTTGGATTTTGTTTTGCAATGATGCCATGAGTTTTTCTTTTTCCAAATTTTTTCTTTAATCTGGGTAAACTCCTCTTACTTTGTCGTCTGTTGTTTCCGCAGTTTGGTCCAGAATTCGCAGTGGAGAGTGTGTTGCCGTTGCTCGTCCCGTCGTTGAGTGCACCCAGCCTCAACCCTGAACAGTTCTCCAAGTACATTGGTGTTATCCGCGATGTGCTGAGGTGAGTGGCATAATTAATTTTCTGTGGGTGTGTGTGTGAGAGAAAGAGGTGGTGAGGTGTGTGTGAGAGAGAGGGGGTGGGGTGTGAGAGAGACAGAGAGAGGTGGTGGGGTGTGTATGTGTTTCGAGGCGACTGTCGATTTCCGTGGAGAGCATGGCCCTCGCTCCACTACTCGCTAAATGCACAAAAGACAAAAAATATGGTGGTGTATCTTCCCACGTTCTAGAGGAAGATTCGTTCTCATTTTTTGGCATTTGGCGAGTAGTGGAGCAAGGCCCCATGTTAGAGTCAATGGGAGGAAGGAAATCATGAGGTGAATTGTGGAGGGTGATCGTGGACTCGCGTCGAGTCCGAAAGACCCATTCCCGTTCTGCTAGCCTTGTGTCACAGGGTCCCTCAACCCTATTACTATGCGGCTTTTAGGCCTCTGTTAGACTTCTGATTGACCCTTGTTTGCTGCTGTTTGGCACTGTTTATGTCATGTTCCCCAGCTGACTGATAATTCGCCAATTTCCTAGGCTGTTGCCCGGGCACCCAACTTAAGCCCGGATAGACGCCCGGTTGCCCGGCCGGGCGTGGTTCCAGGCAGCCCCAACGAAAAAAAGAAAAAGAAAAAAAAAAAAAAAAAAAAAAAAAAACGAAAAAGAATATGTTGTGTGACAATGTGTAAAATTGCAATTCAAACAACTTTTGGCTGCGGGTCACATTAGAATTCCTCACAGAATCGGAGACAAAAAAGAAAACTGACAGAATCACACTAAGGCACCCCCCTTTAAACCCCTTTAGCCCCTTTAAAACCAATTTGTACCCCCCTTCTCCTCCTTGACAGCCAACTCTGGAAAAAAGAAATGAGCCCGGATCTGGGGTCTTCCCACCGGGCGTGACAATCTGCCTAGCCAATTTCGTTTTTCTCCTAGACAATCTTCCTACCCATGTCGATGATTTGTTTTACTTTTTTTTCTTTTCTTTATCATGCTAATCTTCTCTGTATCGTTCCAATTTTAACGGATGTCCCGAAGGACTATGTGGGTGATTAATTGGTTTTTGCTGTGTTACGTTTTCCATTCTGGTTTTGGATTTTTGCAATGTTTGTCCTTTTTGTGCATATTTTCCAGTGCTGCTTCTTCCCCCCCCCCCTCCCTCTTTTTCTTCTGCAGTGCTTTCTCCTCAGTCATTGTGTGCTGAAGAATCCCTTGCTCACAGCTATTCCTATGGAACCCTCGACGTTTTTTTTTTTTTCTTTTCAGGAAAATTGAGGAAAAGCGTTCTCTGAATATCACCGAAACCGTCCGCAGAACAAATGACACTTCTGGAATGGGAGCCATGATGTCAAATGCAAACGGACCGGTTGCGTCAAAACCGCCACCCACGAGTTCTGCTAGACAGTCACTGGCTTGGGATGTCGAGGACTGGACCGCCTCCTCGAAGCCGGCTCTGCCTGCACTGGAGTATCATGGGGTAGGAGACGCACAATCGTTGAGTGGAGATCAAGCGCTTGCATCGTCGTCTTATCGACCGAGCTCGTCGTCTTTCGATCAGCAGCCAGGAGGGGGGAATTCCTTTGGCGTTCCCTCAAGTGTTTCACAGCCGATGAATGCCCAAGGCATTGGACAACCAGCGCACCGGCTGAGCGGTTCCAAGGGAGGAGGCGGTGGCATCGGGGATTTTGAGTGGCCACCACCTTCTCAGTCTTCCATGGGAATGAATGCCAAAGCCTCTCCTACTCGTCCTGGGACCGGGCCCGCTGCTCCTGGAATAACCTGGGACATGTATGGTCTGGGTAAGCCTGGTATTGTCGGAGGAGCTGGTGGCATGAACAGCAGCACAGCTGCTCCGGCAACCGGAACAGCAGACGCAGATGACCCTTTCGCCAACTGGCCTCCAAGGACAGGAACTTCAGGAAGCGGCGTCTCCGGAGGAGCGACTTCAACCAATAGCGGGACCATCTCGTCTGGAAATCGGATGGCCAGCAGCGGTGGTGGCATCGGCAGTTTGAATCTCGGGAGCTTGGGGTTGGGAAGGGGGGGTGCTGCCATGGGGCAACAAACACCAGGCTTGGGAAGCAGCATGCAGCCGAGTATGCCGGGTAGTATTGGGAGTGGGCGGAGCGTATCATCACCTTTAACGGCTGCAGGTCGGCCAGATGAGCTTGGCACGCTGTTTACATCGGGGCAACAATCTCAAACAGCAGCGCCCATGAGGCTGCAGCCCCCTCCCATTCGAGTGAATCCGCCACCGACTAGGAGCGCACCACAGCCGCCTTTGCTGGATTTGCTGTAATGCAGGGGAGTATTGGGAGTGGGCGGAGCGTATCGTCGCCTTCAACGACTGCAGGTCGGTGAGATGAGTTCGGCTCGCAGTTTACATCGGGCCAACAATCTCAAACGGCAACTCCCCTGAGGCTGCATCCCCCTCCCATTCGAGTGAATCCGCCACCAAACAGGAGCGCACCATAGCCGCCTTTGCTGGATTTTCTGTAATGCGGTGTAGTATTGGGAGTGGGCAGAGCATATCATCACCTTCAACAGGTCGGCCAGATGAGTTTGGCTTGCTGTTTACATCGGGCCAACAATCTCAAACAGTGGCTCCCATGAGGCTGCAGCCCCCTCCCATTCGAGTGAATCTGCCACCGAATAGGAACGCACCGCAGCTGCTTTTGCTGGATTTGCGGTAATGCAGGGGAGTATTGGGAGTGGGCGGAGCGTATCGTCGCCTTCAACGACCGCAGATTGGCCAGATGAGTTTGGCTTGCTGTTTGCATTGGCCTGACAAGCTCAAACATCAGCTCCCATGAGGCTGCAGCCCCCTCCCATTCGAGTGATTCGGCCACCGAATAGGAACCACCTTTGTTGGATTTGCTGTGATGCTGGGTAGTATTGGGAGTGGGCGGCTGCAGCCCCCTCCCATTCGAGTGAATCTGCCACCACATAGGAGCGCACCACAGCCTCCTTTGCTGGATTTGTTGTAATGCTGGGTAGTATTGGGAGTGGGTGGAGTGTATAATCACTGCCTTCAGCGCCTGCAGGTTGGCGAGACGAGTTCGGCTCGCTGTTTACATTGGGCCAACAATCTCAAACGGCAACTCCCCTGAGGCCGCAGCCCCCTCCCAACCAGTTGAATCGGCCACCGAATAGGAGCGCGCCACAGCCGCCTTTGCTGGAGTTGCTGTGAACCGAATAAGCGTGCTGTTGCGAGAAACGTATCAGCTGAGGATGCTCTTTGCTGTGGGAATGGAGTGGATGGTGCCGGCAATGGGACGGCATGTCCTGGCAGACTGACATGTGATGCATTTGGAGGAGAGGAACCCGTGCTCAGCAGGCAGATCGACAAACTTGCATCGGTAAGCAGGGTGGCACTGCTACCAAGGGTTTTCTTGTTATCTCGTTTCCCTCCTTTGCCGTATAATCTATACATATATATTAACACTGTTTATACATTTGTTCATATATTCCTTCTTTCAGGCGTTTTAACGTGTAGTGATTTGAATTCGCGCGACAAGCTGAAATCAGGTGTGCTGCGATGTTTTGATAAGAGCTGATTGCGGCATCTGTCTATCCTCCACATACCTTTCACGACCGCCCTGGTACCGTGACGAGTGCCTGTTTTCGGTTGCTCCATGCACTGGAGTGAAGATCAGATGATCACACATGGCTTTTTGTTCCCTCTCTCTTCAGGGGTTGGCATGATTTTCCGGGGGGTAGTCTAGGGGATGGCACAATTTGTCAGTAGGTAGTGCAGGTCGGGGACGTATTAGGTAGTCTACGTGTCCCACGCCCCGGTCCCGACACCAGGAGGCTCTGGTACCAAATTGAAATGGAGGTGCTCGCTTGAGCTCGCGTCTTTATTTCACGGATATACCACAATGCCATGTGGATCGTATCAATGTCCGCCACGTGTGTTTACTTTTCAAGCTTGTTTTGGGACCTGGTTTTGGGACCTGGGTTCGGGACCCGGGTTTGGGACCTGGTTTTGGGACCTGGTTTTGGAACAGGAAGAATTTATTATTTACAGATTACTTTTATGGTCGCACGAACGTTGAGAGGCTAGGTGGCATTAGATAGCTGTTTCAGGGAGAGTTTAGAGTTTCGCCATTCATTGTTCTGTCAAGTTGTGTTAACCTTTTCAGTGTTTTCGGCAACTTTTCGCAGATTTCTCTGTGATTTTAGTAATGCATTGCAGGTTCTGCTAGGTTTCCGATGAAACTTCGGGGAAGCTTCGCGTAAAGCTTCGGATAAGCTTTCCGGGAAAGTTTGGATCAGCTTCGGATAAGGTTCACGTAAGATGCTCAGCGAGAACGCAGGTAGGAATGGAGGGGGGGGGGGAGGGGGGGAGGGATTGTCTTCAGATAACTTCGCTTCAGGAACACGGAACTTTCGCTGGACTGTACTCTGATTAGAGTCCCTCTTGAGTGAATAAAGGCTGTCGCCATCGGCGCAAGATGCATCTCTAAGGCAGTTTACTTCTGCTTCTTCTTCTTCGTCGTGCTTTTTTTTTTTTTTTTTCAACGAAAGGAATCAAGTCCTGCTACTGCACTGAGGCAGTTCAGTTACTTCGTTACTTCGTCTTTTTTTTTTTTTTTTTTTTTTTTGGGTGCACACGTTTCCCTACCCTACCTACCTCATCGTTCTACTTCCTTCCTTCATCTTATGTGGTCTTATCTGGTAAAGTTTCATTTCTTCTCACTGCATATTTAGACTACCGGCAGGTCGTTTTGGGTCAAATTTCGCCGTAATTGCGGGCAGGTGCATTTCAGAAAATCCTAGTGTGAATACGGCCTTAAGGTGACCAAACCCGATGTCACCCAAGCGCCCCAGTGAGAAAAATTCGGTGTGTGTTTTAAGTGGGAGACACATGTGCAGTTCGTTTTCTTTCTTCTCATTTTCTTCCTTTTCATCTCAGAGAAACATACGGCATGCAGCTTCTAGGCGAGGAAGCTGCATGCCCCAAACGCCCCATCCCCCCCCCCCCCCCCCTCCCCCCCCACCTCTCCTCCTCCCCCACCTCTCCTCCCCCTTCGCCCCCGCACCCGTATGTTTCTTTGAATCTTAACTTCACGAGCATAATGTTTACTGCATCCTCTTCATCCTTGCACTGCGTCTTTTTTTTTTCTGTGCTTTGCTATTCATAAGAATTGATATCTGCTATGCTTCGGCGGTTTGTTCTCTTCCGTCTCATCTTAGTGTGCCTGAAGTTTTTTTTTTTTTT